CAGAACGAGTCTAAAAAATAACATCTCGGAAAAAATCAGACATCTTATTAGAAAACAGACCAAAAGCATAGAACAGTTTTAAGATCAAGGAACTTCGTGGATTTTTATGTACTCCAGCTTTATGTGTTGACAACTGTTTTGAATTTAGTTTAAAATAATTATTGTTTTTTTTTTTTTCATCTTTATTTAACCAGGAAAGTCCCATTGAGATTAAGAACCTCTTTTTCAAGGGAGTCCTGGACTAAAGTTACATACAGTTACATAAATTACAGATTATAAAACAGTCACATACAATTTCATAAAATTACGGATTATAAAAAACAGTTACATTCCAATGAGGATGTCTCAAGTGCTCTCAATCTGGATCTAAAAGCATTCAATGAAATAAGTTCAGATATTGTTAATGTTATTCTACATATTTTGGACCATGATGCCACTGTAATGTCGATCTCAGCTAAGGATTAGGTAGCAGCACAGAACCGGTCTTTGTCAGCGGGTGAAAGACAAGAGGGAGAGCGCTGGATCAGCTCAGATTGATGGGCCGGGTTAGACTGAGGTCACTGAGATATAAAATTGCCCCTGCACATCCACACACAACAAGAGCAGACAGACAGTGCAGTCCGTGCTCCTCCAACATTTTAGCAGCAATGTGGCTCGGCGCAGAGCAGCAGCCATAGTTAGATTAGCATGGGCAAATTGAGTTTCCACAAGAGGAGAATTTACTTAACATGCTGCCAATGGTGCTTGAATGAACCCTGATCTGATTTGCCTTATCACGTTGTTCAATTGAAAAGGAGAATGCTGAAAGCTTTTCTCTTCCTCTATTATGCCAGATAAGGGGAGAAGAACCAGGATCAGATTGAGACTTTTTTAGGTGAGTTATTTATAGAAAAGGCGCTTGCAGATGGTAATGTGTTTGAGTAGGTTATTAGCTCTAGAAGGAGAGGACTTGTTGAATATGTTACTCACCACCAGTAATACCAATATTAATTTACTAACACCCAAAAAGTCAATTTATTTATTCAGCATATTGACAACAACCGCAGCTGTTGTCAGCCAGTGCAACGTTTTTTGGAGTGGTTTTATGGATTTACAGTCTGAGCTGATGTCTGTCTGAAGGGCAGACTGTTCCATAGTCAAGGAGCAGCTGCAGAAAGAGCTCGGTCTCCTCTAGTTTGGGAAAGTGTCTTAAGCACATCCAGCAGGAGTATGCATGCGCAGAGCCGTTCCTACTTTCAGCGTTCAATAAACATCAAAGTAATTATCAACACTGTAACAAATTTCTGTAAAATTACAATGAAATTTCAACATTAAACAAATGTTATTTTGAAAAACAATTCAAACATGCAAATTTAAGTATAAATTGGTTAAAAAACATCCAGTGGCGTTTTATTACCACAATTATAATGTGATTACAAAAAACGTTACAATAATTTAACATAAACTTAATGTATTTTTGGAATTCTGGGACATTTTTACCAGCGAGCAACCATGAGTGTAATAGGTACCTCTTACACATGTAAACTCCTGCTTTAGTTAGAATTAAGCTTTAGCGTTAAGCATGTTATAGAAGTAAAGATTTCAACTACTTTCTTGTATAAACTAAAGATGTTAAAAAATATTTGAAAAGATGTGGTCTAGTAAAACAAATTAAACTGTGTAGTTTTTTGTTCAATGAAACTAATTAGAAACAGAAACAGTCAAATGGTGTAATAATACAAAATGAACATGTTATTTAGGCTGTTATTGTTGTATGTGAATTAACAGGAACATACAGTTAAATCCTGAAATCACAAAGACATAATGTGATTCAGTGAAACAGTCTTTAACCGTTAAAATTAGCAACGGTAATGCCATGTTGAGAAAACGGTAAATTCCTGGAACCATATTTGCCAGCTATTTACCGTTTTTCTACAAGGAAATTTTTTACAGTGAACTCAATCGTCTGTCAGCATGTGTGGCTGTACAAGAAAAAGAGGTGCATGTGTTATTAGTGCGTACACGTTGTAAGTTTTTCTCCGTGGCTCTACATAAGTCAATATCATATTTTGCTCATGAAGGCATCGAAGATTTTTGGTTTAAACAATGATATCAGATTAATGTGTTTTATTAACCTGCTTTCTCTGTTTGAAAAAAAAAAAAAAAAAAACTCAAAGCCAGGCTGCCCCAGGACAGCTATGGCTACAATTGTTGGTTATAATGAATGAAAGAAAATCTGTCCTTGTGAAATGTGCTAGACATTATAACTACTCCCCGGTATGGGTATGAGCTGTGATTTTAGGACTCTGAGCAGAAACTCGGCTAGGCAAGTATAGCACAATTCATACGCAAGAAAACTCAAAGTGCTGAACAAAACAAGATAACTAAATATTTACTCTTTTTTAATTTCCTTGTGTTTTTTGATTTTTTTGTTTTAATAATAATAATAATAATAATGCATCAGTTTTATATAATGCTTTTTTGGACACTCAGAGACGCTTTACATGTCATTATTCATTCACTCCATGCACGGTGGTGATAAACTACTGTAGCCACAGCTGCCCTGGGGCACACTGACAGAAGCGAGGCAACCAGTATGTGCCATCGGCCCCTCCGACCACCACCAACCATTCACACACACACACCAGACTCATTCTAGGCAATGGAGGTGTGTCTTGCCTAAGGACACAACGACAGCAGACAGTGGGAGTCGATGGTGAAAGTCTTGAGGTGGGCTCGAACCCACGACCTTCTGGCTCAATGCTCTACCAACTGAGCTACTGCCGCCTTGTTTGTTGTTTTGTTTGTTCACTCCCCTTTCAGTGATCTGTTAAAAAACAACAATAAAAAACAGAAAAATACACCAAAACTACAGGAATCATAAATATCACACACATTATAAAAATCCTCTGGCAGACCTACAGCTGAGATTCTTGCAACACAAATTAAGAAAGAAAAAAATAATCCTTAATGTTTTCTATCTGCGTATATTTGCTTGGTGATTATGGGCAACCTGTTTGTGCGTGTTGGTGTCATTGCTCCTCCTGAATGCTCTGACAGTGCAGTGATGTGTGAGGACGGTGTTATTGTGTGTGATGTATGGCAGGTTAACACGGGCTGCTTTCTCATTTGGCCTCTCCGCGCCACAGCAGAGGGGTGGGGGGCCGCGTTGAGGGGTTATTGACGAGCAGACAGGACGCCGCTACAATGGCTGTCTGAAACCCCCAGTAAATCTGACACAACCGAATACTAAAGCCATTTCTTGTACATTAACTTTTATTGCATTTGCGTTTAAACTGACCCTTCGTTCCTTATTTTGTCTAAGTGTTTTCTATTACTCAAAGTTGAGCTAAATCACTGCATTAGCGCTTTTATGTGCCACCAGAACACTAAAATGCTCGCTACTAAGAAGGAATTAGGCCAGAGTGAAATTAAATTATTATTAGAGCTTCTTTTGGGATTTAGAAAAAAAAAAAAAGTCATGAAAATGTATTATTGCATTTTATTTCACGGCTTAGTGGCGAAGCGGCGCGGTGACTGCAGAGGAGGTACGTATTTCTCCCAGTCTTGGTTTGGAGGCAAAAATCTCTTTTGTTCTTGCATTAGTTCATTTGGAGCTGCGCCGCTTGAGCTGTTAATCCCAAGTCACAAGTGCTCTGCTCTGACTAAATACAAAAAAGTAATCCTGTATTAACATAAATTTGACTTAAAATGTCATCATAGTTATGTGTTTTCAACAATATGTAAATGAAGGGTGGGTGTAATCTACCTATGACCCGGGAGACATCCTGTATGGTTCAAAAACATCCAACATGGCGGTGTGTTGTCGGGCTGCGCACCGAGAAACACTTACACCAATGATACATGACATCAGTAAGGCATGTGGTGGGTTATGTTTTCACCAGGGTTTGCTTGTTTGTCTATATGGTTGACTCTTGAGCCGCACAGCAAGAAGGTCCTAGGTCTGATTCCCGGGTCGGACTAGGCTGTTTCTGTGCATGTATGTGAATAAAGTTTACTTCCACTCCCACTAGTACTTCTGCAACTTCTATTACTATATAAAGGTTATAGGCAGAATTTTATCACGTTTATGTAAATCTCCAGGAACCAAAAATGGGACCAGGAACCAATGATAAGATTTTGGAAGTGCCCCAGATCACCTTCTGAATCCAGGATGTATATTTCTCAGAATGGAGGTCTGCGTTCTACGAGTGCTACGCTATGTTTTTTTATTAACTGTTTTAAAAGATTTACAAAAAATTTTAATTTTGATGCCAACCAAAAACTCAAAGTTCACTACAATTTACAAAGAGAGTCATTTCAAACGGTGCCAAGGAGGTTTTCATAATAGTTTGTGTTTGTCTGTTAGTTTGTTAGCAACTGTTAGTTAGCAAGATTTTGTCCTACTGTCTCAGGACGATCTTCTCTCAGTTTTTGTTCTGTAATGTCAGTAAGCCTGTGAGTATGCACAATCCAGTTAATGATCATGGTTAGCCATTAGTTGAGTAATTGTTGCAGCTCTAAGTTGGGACAGTTTTTTCAGTTACAGTCAACAATTCACCTGGTACCTGAGAAATGTTGGAAACCAAACACTTTTCTTTTCAGCTGGTGGCTTCTGGGAGAGCACTGTAAAAAGTTACTGGGAAGTTCTGGCCTTATAACTGCAGATTATAATATATATATATATATATATATATATATATATATATATATATATATATATATATATATATATATACTATCTATATAATTCTAAAGGAATTATATAGATAGTAACACAATAACAACATTAACATACTAACAATTCTTGATAATGACTCCCGGTAACATTTACCAGTGCCTGATAGTCCTTTTTCAGTTTATTATAAATTTGAATGTGCTGCGTTTGACTCATTATAATATGAGCTCATATGATTTGACCTACATTTAAATGACTTTCCCTCTTGTGTTTGCAGAGTGCCTACCTCCATCCACTGAAGACCTGATTCACTTCAGTCGCCAAAGCGCCCCTTTGTGGCACCATGCGTCGGATTAGGACGGACGGCGCTCTGGTCCGATGCCGGAGCTCCGTTGGCCTTAACTCCGCCCTGAACCTGGTGCTGTCTCTGATGATCCTGTCGACATATCCACTGTGCTCGGAGTCGGCTGCACTCGGTACGTCTGCTCACTCCGTCCATACCTTCGTTTTCTTTGCTTTAAAAATGCCGCCTGAAGCTATGGCCTCATTGTTAATGTGGTGATGAACTGGTAGGTCCCATCAGAATGCTGATTTACTGCCTCAATGTTTCTCTATATTTTTATCTGATCAAATAGACAGAAGCTGAAGAGGAAACAGCGCTTCCCATTACAAAAGGCAGTGTTTTTGTTAATAGAAAAACAAGAAGAGGTTATTTTTGTCTTCATAATTCATCACATTGGGGAAATGTTGGTCTAGTGGCACAAAAGTAACTTGGACAAAAATAGAATTCAAGTAAGAACCATGAATAAAACCAGTTCAAAAATAGATTTTAAAAAGATACATGCATGCAACGTAACGGTTCAAGCAGAAAGCAAAGTTGTTGTGTGTAAACAGGACTTTGGTTTTACAGTGCAGCAGTGGACTTCATTATAATAGTGGTATTTGAGTAATGTCATAATTCATATGATGATCACTAATAGTTAGCCTGGAAGGGAACATTTTTTCTATGTCCTGCACATTCTTCTGCCTTAACATACTTTTGTCCAATACCAGAGGAAGCATATACAATTAACCTTCAATCTTATTCTTAAATTAAAAAATGTTAAACGATTTTTGTTCTACTAAAAAAGAGAATTGTAAATGTTCTGCACATGAACTGAAAATCATTACACAGATCTATATAAGTAGAATTTATTCATCTCAGACAAAGTAGCAGAAGACATAGTGTTCTCCCTGAATCCGCCGCAAGCTCTGGTTGTATTTGAGCGCAGCAGGAGTCACTGAGTCACTGGGATGATTACAGCGTATAAGGTGTTTAATTAAAAAGAACTGTACACTGCATCAGTGCGAGACCTGCTTGCTCTGCGCAGCCAACCCAGGCATTAGACACACACGGATCCTCATTACGTCTTTTATTTCTATTTTAGTGTTTCTGTAGCCCTTAGATCATAACAAGTCATCGCTGAGTGCAAATCCATCCGAGCCGCTGCCTTATGGGGGCTTTTCCTTGGCTCTCCGAAGCGGCTTAAGTGGTAACACCGCCAGTGGGGCCTGGTGCTGCTCTCGGATTGGTGTTGGAGGGTATTTAAGCGAGCACAGACAACATTTTGGCCCCGGACCGAAAGCCACTGAAAGCCGTGTAAAAGTCCCAAGTAGCAACGTGAAATTTGTTTTTAATCCCATCGCCAGAAGTAGTAGACACTTCCTCTTTTGCTACAACATCTTTTTTTTCATTGACATTTTCATATTGTTGGCAAGGATGGAGGAGCAATTTGTTCAATGCTCTTTCTGGCTTTCTGTGTGCTTAATAGGCAGGAAATATCCTTCTCTGAGCACTAAAATGGTGGGCAGAAAATTGCTCCATCTGAATACTACACTGTAGAAACTGCGGCTGGTCGCACTTTGCTATTGAGGATCATAGCGAAAGGAAACCACTTCAGTGCAATATACAACCGCTGCAATTTTGAGCTGGTGTTACTGTATTGGCTGTCAAGACTGTGTGGTAAAGGTGCAAAAGGGAGAGTCGAGTAAGAGATGGAAATGCTGGGTTTAAATGCAAGGTTTCTATGCCAAGTTTTGGGATTGTCTTAATTTAGGCTTTGCAGTTTGCAGTTGACTTTACAGGATTTTGAGTGTTGAAATCTGCTTGTCTGAAAGCTACTAACACATCTAAAATGTCAAAGTGGATACTCTCTAACTGTTAAAACTAACACGTTTAATGGTTGAAATAAAACCACTTTTTTGTTGTTGTAATAATTTATTCATTATTTGTGATTCTCTCCCAGGTCAAGCATAATTGACTCTAGCAAATGGTATAGCCAAAAGAATGGCTCCAAATGACCAAAACTCTCTTTCTGTTTATTGTAGTAGTCCTGCACTACTTACTCATTTTCCTCTGGAGGAATTTTGAGAATACATCAGGGTGGAGATGATTGTATAGTGACTTCTAAATTGATGAAATATTGGAATAACAAGACAAGAAAGTGACACTACTAGGCCCTCCAATTCAATTTGATTCAAAGTATTCTTGTTTAGCCTTAAAGTGATAGTCTGGAACTCTAAATTAATTACACATTTTAAGAATTGTAATAAATTGTCCTCCTGGCCTTAAATGTTGATACAAAATAAGTCCTCTTATGAATTATAATATTATGGGTAAGTCCCGCCTTCCCTTCTCTTAGCTATAGTTCAGAATCCACGATGCCGTCCAGTTTGACCAATCAAGTGATGCCAAGGGCTGTCAATCATCGGCGCTCATGCTCGTAGCTGCTCATGCTCAGTTGTTTGTTTTCACGGAGCCTCCGAATCAAGCCTCCATTAGGCTCTGGAACTACATGAAAACTGAACAAAGAATTCTGAACATCTGCGCTGAGTTACCCATTTATATACTGAACCTATATCCATAATCATTTATATACTGAACCTATATCCATAATCATTTATATACTGAACCTATATCCATAATCATTTATATACTGAACCTATATCCATAATCATTTATATACTGAACCTATATCCATAATCATTTATATACTGAACCTATATCCATAATCATTTATATACTGAACCTATCCATAATCATTTATATATGAACCTATATCCATAATCATTTATATACTGAACCTATATCCATAATCATTTATATATGAACCTATATCCATAATCATTTATATACTGAACCTATATCTATAATCAGATCCTCTGCAGATGTGTCCTATAATGTTCAATCAATGATAATAGCTACTTCCGGGTTTACCGCGATCGCTTTTTTTGTGCATTAAAACATTATTTTTGTCATGAAAACGTTAACAAATAATTCTGAAGACCTCTGTGCATGTGTATTAATAATGTATATGTATAATGTGTTCTCTGATTAACATTTAAATGTGTTGATTGATTGTTACGGAAACGTAGGCGTAGACCAATCAGAAAGGAAGGGGGAGGGAGCTTTAAATCTCAGCAGTAGTTATCTCAACTGACTTTGCAAAATTGTCAAAGCAAAGACAGGAAATACACATAAGAGCCATTGGTCCAGAGGGCTGCAGGAGTCTGTAGTTGTTCCTAAATGTTCCTGAATGTTGAAAAATGTCAATGAGGCCTCTGTAGCGACATTGTTACAGTGAATAGCGGTTGTTGGTGCGTCCAGTGTCCGGAGATGGAAGCGCAGATGCCTCGCGCTCGTTAGCACTTGATAGGTAGCCGGTATTCTCCAGTTTCCTGAGTGAATCGACACAGTGGGACCTCACCCACCCAGACGCTGCAGGAGTGGGAGGAGGGATGCAGGTTGCCATGGTAAGGGTCATCCTGACTTCACCCTGATAGAGTCTGCAGTTAAACCCAGCACCATGGCAACAGGACACAGACACCAGAGGGGCGGGTGCTTTAAGTTGTTGACTGATCTGACTCAGTCGCTGTGAAAAATATAGCTTAGGCACTGCGGGGAAAATGATTGTTTTGGCTGCGTCTTGAAGGCCACCTCATACATGACATTAGAGAGATGCAGATTGCTGGTGCTTGGAGACTTTAGTTACAAAGTGAAATGTGTTGAAGAATGAGGTTGTTGATTGGATTCTAATAAGGGTTTCTCAAAATGCATTTACATATTCAAGTGAGACATACAGACATACACATTTTCCTAATCAAAGACAGACCTGGAGTTGTTAAATCCATCCACAGTTAGAATAAGAATTAGAGAACCTTTATCAGGAATTTTGCACAAATATGTACAGTAATTCTGTCCTTCTGTCTCAATGCTTTCATTTCATTTTTTTCATTTCATTTTCAACCCCTTTATTAGTCTGTTTCTGGGTCGGGGGGGTGGCAATGAGAGCTGCCACCCAACGCTCATAGCACCAGTCCCTCGCTGATCTTCTGCAGGGGGTGAGTCCACAGGAAGATGGCTGCTCCATCAGTTGAGAAACTGCCTTGATCTTTCAGCGGGGGCTTCAGGCAACGTGGGGTTAAGTGTCTTGCCCAAGGACACAACGACAGCAGTCATCAGTGGGAGCAGTTGGAGTAGGTCCCATGGTGGGAATCGAACTCACGACCTCCAGGCCCAAAGGCCAATGCTCTACCAACTGAGCTACTGTCGCCCCATCTGTCTCGATGCTGTTCTCTCAAATCATATTATGTCATCAAAACCACATGACATCACACTCAGAGCAGTTTCCTGTCCTTTAAAACAATTTAAAGCAATTTCTCAAGTGAAATGATGGTTTCATATGTCTACCCTTGTGTTTGCAGCTGGCCACTGTGACAACACAATTAGAAAAAAAAACAAATTCAACTCCTCCTTCTGGTGGAATAAGAAGTCTCATGTGTATAGTTGTTTTAACCTTTCATACTTGTTTTACCAAATATATGTAAAAAGTCTCATTATGATTTTGATAGCCAAAAATAACGCGTGATGCAATATTTCTTCATTAAAAACCAACTCACACATTTTTTTATTTCAAGCCTTTAAAAATATTTGTTTTAAAATGTAACATATTGAAAAAATAACAATTAATATATATATAATTACAGTGGAAAAATAATGCTGACTCCAATACCTAAAGTAAGAGTATTTTAATACACTTGCTAATACTCAAGAATTGTCCCCAATCTAAATACAATAAAACGGAGCACTAATCATTTCCTTTCATATTTACTGTGTTCAAACCCTTCCGAGGTAAACGCCCGCAGGTTCAAACTGACACCTCCTGTTAAAGACACATTTAAACCAATTATATGCTGTGAATGAACAGCCAACACTTCCAGCACCTGTGAAACACTCATATGCTGTGACAGGCTCATGGCGACACGCGTTTACAAGACCAGTCCGCTCAAGAGGTTATCACAACGCACACAGAGACACGGAAAGAGAGGACGATGTTCTTCAGAAGCATTGGCCCATCTTTTATTTATGACCACAGGAAGTCCTTTACTGTGTCCTCTAGATGATACCCAGGAAGCAAGCGCAACACACGAGTCATTGGGTCCAGGCCAGGGGGACATGGGTGTGGTCCCTCCGTGTTGTGAACAAAAAGCGTGTAGTTTGATTTTCTTGTTGTGTGTTTGTTGTCCCAGCTCCTCCAAAGATCACCAAGATTCCTACGGATCAGATCGGCGTGTCGGGAGGGGTGGCATCGTTCGTGTGCCAGGCCAGCGGGAATCCCAAACCGGTCGTCTACTGGAACAAGAAGGGCAAGAAGGTCAACTCCCAGCGCATCGAGGTGGTTGTCACAGTGCACGGTTCAATGGTCGAGCCAAGCAACACAGTATAATCTTGCCGAGAAGGTTTTGAGGGTATTTCAGGAAAACTGTAGAAAAAAAGTAAGCAATATGTACATAATCACTAAGCAAGTTGAAATTTAGCCCAGTCTTTTAATGGACGTCAAATACAATGTGTACTGATTATTGTCTATTATCTATGGTCTAGACCTAATAATAATAAACATTTGACAAGATAATTATTCCATTTAATGTACAGTACAGTTTCATATGGAACCTACACCGATTATAAGCACTTAAGCAAGAAGGCCATGTTGTGTGACTTTCCTCTGGACAGTCCCCCATGAATCCAATACTATTCATACAATTGTGCCGCACATCCACATCTGGATAAGGACTTTTTCAACAAATCCCTGCTGGAAGTGTGCTGTTCACTTGATTCAGTGAATAATGGTGCATCAAAGTGAACCAATGCTGACTGTCATTCCTGTCTTGAATACATTATGAGCTGCATGTATGCACTTCTATCCAGTCTCTGCCATCGTACACTTTGTCAGACTCAGAAGCCAAACCGAGGTCTGCATTATTTACAGTGCAGGGGTTTGGCTACTTCACTTTCATTGTCGTTCGCTTTTCAAGGGAAGGGTCGGTTCAAGTTCTCCCTCTTAGGCCAGGAATAAAACCAAAGGCAGTATACAGTAAGGGGCATTCACATTTAGTCCAATTAAAGTGATTCCTGGTTAACTTTAAGCTCTCCATTTTTTTAGTAATCAATTCATTAATTGAATGAGTTGTTTTCTAAGTGCCCAGACAATGGTGGGCCCCCAACCTTCACAGCAGGTCCTGGGTTTGATTCCTTTCTGTGTGGCGTTTCATTTATAGTTGAAAAATAGCGTGTGATTTAAAATGTTAATGTTAATTACAGCATGAGTAGGTCACGGTCAGTATGGAGCGACGCTACATGGAAACAGCTCTGTGTTGAACCAGCGCCACAAACAATTCTGTGGGCAACAGTTTAACAGGTTTTAAGTCTTATAAAAATTAAAAATAAACAATTCATTGAGGCAATCTAATGATAATTACAAATATTTTTAATTTAATAATTCTATTCCTCATTTTAACCGTACTCGCCTTGAAACATTTCAGGGACGTTGTGACTGTGGCTTTTGCGAGTCCACCTGCACAATCTTCAAGGCGCCCTTGATCTTGTAGCTTCTCAGATCATCTTCTTTCTGAATGGGACATGACTTCAGGACCGAGATACGTCCAGATACTACTGCTCTTGAAGCCTTTTTGACCACACTGCACTTCTGCCTGCAAACACTTGAGTCTATATCACCCCAGACAACTCAAGCTCATTATGGGTTTCAACTAATAGACTAATCAATAAGACTTTGTATAGCAACCCTATTTTGAGCATCTCTTCTTTTCAGATCTTATTTTAAACTCCTGTAACACATTAGGACGCACTTATATTATTTTTAAACCACTGTAATTATCACATAAGGGAGCACATTCTAGCGTGTTCTGCTTTTAGAAGTGGCATGTGTGAATGTTTGCTTTATATAGGCACTCTGACTACGCTGTGACTGCCTACGTTGTCGCCTATATTGAGAAGCTTAATTACATTGAGATTTAGTGTGCCTGTGATGATAATATCTCATCATCCGAGAAGCATCTTACGGAAATGAGATTCAATCTTGCAGCGACACAGGGACGTGCTTCCCTGTGTTTGTGAGCAGAAGATGGCCTTTTAAGATTATCAGCATCAGATATCAAGAGCCTGAGCTGGTGCTTACACTGGACCACTCTGACTTGACTAAGTACAAGCTGATTAAAGGGGAGGTTAGTTTAAGTAGAATATAAACTTTATTGTACACAAGAAACTTTCTTTACCACTAAAAATATGTCCAATACTTCTGGCATGTGCCTCCTGTACTGGCCCCGCTCCCATCTCTGTGTGGAGTGAGAGACAAATGCCCAAAATTAACAATTGTAAACCGCTTTGAGACTCAGATCTGCAGTGAAAAGGCGGTATATAAATAAAAACTTACTACTTACTTACTTACAGGTAATTAAAAACAGTAAAACATTACAATCACCCAATAAATTAAAACCATTGAAACGTACAGATGGCTGTACAATGCATCATTTTACATTGTTTTTACTTGATGTTTTAACAATTATCGCAAAAGTACGACTCAGACATGCTTCTGTAGTTGCCTAAGTAAAAAATGAACACAGCATATACATTTTTGTTGAATATTTAGCAGACAATATATTTATATAAGACACACTTAAAGGACATGCTGTAATATATTGTAGAAATATACAGTGGCAGTGGGCGGCACGGTGGCTGAGTGGATAGCACTCTCGCCTCTCAGCAAGAAGGTCCTTGGTTCGAATCCCGGCCGGACAAGGGCCTTTCTGAGTGGAGTTTGCATGTTCTCCCCGTGTCTGCGTAGGTTTCCTCCGGGTACTCCGGTTTCCCCTACCACTAAAAATATGTCCAATAGGTCTGGCATGCGCCTCCTCTACTGGCGACCCCGCTCCCATCTCTGTGTGGAGTGAGAGGACAAGTGCCCAAAAATAACAATTGTAAACCGCTTTGTGACTCTGGTCTGTGAAAGGCGGTATATAAATAAAGCTTACTTACTTACTTACTTACTTACTTAGAAATGTTTCATACGACACAACATGTAAAACTCAATCCATATGGTTATTTCAGCCATACTTATTATCTTGTCATTATCTGCAAAGTAACTCGCAAAATGTTAGAAATAGGGAGTACAGATATTTGGATTGGAGTAAAAGTAAACATTTCTACTTAGTATAATAACCAGAAATAGATCCACATGTGTCACTTTCTTTTAAAATGTTGGAAATGCATTCCCTGGTATAATTGTCTTAAGCGTAAGCCAGTTTATGTGTCATCACTGATGCCTGTGTTCTCTCTGCCTGTCTAGACCATAGAGTTTGACGAGGGAGCAGGCGCTGTGCTGAGGATACAGCCGCTACGAGCCCCGAGAGACGAGAACATCTACGAATGTGTGGCACGCAACAACCAGGGAGAGGTGTCTGTCACTGCCAAGCTGGCCATTATCAGAGGTACCGTCAGCTTGTTCTCATTCTTCTCCTGTGCTGTCGATCGCATGTGTGACAATGACTACAGCAGGCCACACCCAGCAGCCTCCAGCGTGGACTGCAGCGGAGCCATTCTTTTTATAGTCCCTTGGAGTGCAGCCGAGCGTGTTTAAGCCACAGGAGCAGCGCTTTCGCTCCCGCCCAGGTCAGCGCAGCCATGGCGCCTCCTGGCCTGCATTAATGGTGTTAATCTAATGTATGCCATGTCTCCACACCAGGCCGACTCAGCTAATGTGCCGCAGTGGAAGTCTGTGGCAAAAGCAAAGCATAATGAAAAGGGTGATTTTGTCGTCTCTGTTGATACAAAACCAGGGGATTTGGCTAGAGTTTGGTCAACACGCCGTTTCACCAATGTGATATGTAGCGGGGGGGAGGGAGGAATGTGGGAGGGGGTCGGAGAGAGGTGAGGTATGGTTGAGAAGTGGGGATTTGGCAGTGCTGTAGTGAGCAGAAGGCAGGTTGCCCAGGGTATAGTCTCTTGCCAATCTGTCCCCCAGCACATCATCACACACACTCAGCCCCAGTCTAAAACACATTAGTTCAGAACGACAGCTTCTCATCTGTGAGGAACATTTGCTTCTTTTAACCCTTTCCTCAGCAATGTGTGCTGCGGCAGCCGTTGCTCTCTTCTGCTCATCTGATTTATTTGTTTTTAGATAATTAGCCAAATAGTTTAGTATAATATGACGATGAAAGTTGTCCCAAACACCCACTATGTGTCTTCAACCCCCTCACAGGTAGCTCCCCAGCGGATTTAGAAAGTAACAAATTCAGTAATGTACAGCATATTTCAGAATGTATTATTTACTTGCTCAAAACTTTTGTAAATGCAAACTTGTGTGCACTAGTAACTAATCTGTGATGATAAACGACTGATAGTACCATACTCAAGCTCGCTCTCACAAATACAGTATATCAACTCATTTTTCCCAGGACGGCTTAAAGGAGTAGCTCTCTGCCCTTTTTGTCTCGAGAAAGTAGCTCTCTTGGGGAAAAGGTTGAAAGCCCCTGTTTTACATTATTACTTCAAAGCCTTTGAGATTTCCCAAAAGCACTTCCATTCACATTTCTGACTCTCCTATAGTGGTGGGTTTGTATAATGGTCCAACAGCAGCGGTAGTATGTGGTTACCCACAGGATATGGCTGTTTACTACAGACCAATAATGTGCTAATGCAGTGGTTCCCAAAGTGAGGGGGGAGGCGCAAGACACTAAAGACTTTTTCACATTGGCGCGAATCAAGATGGTTGTGTGTCGGCCCCTTGTGTCCTTGTGTCTCCATCATAAGTGAGACGTGTTAACCACTCAAAGCAGGCTGTGGAAGGTCCTGCTCAGAAGCCTGACTGGGAGGGCGGGGACGAGACATCCAATCACAGCCATTGGAGCAAAATCACATGACCTATGTGAATGGCCCTTTGCACAAAAGATATTTAGAAAAGGCGAAATATCATTTGAAGTTTTCACGTGTTTATGGACATGTTGATGCTACACGGCTCGAACTAGCTCTGAATGTGAAAAAAACATTATCACTCTTGAACCGAGTGGATCACACTTCATGGCTGTGATTGGAGAAGCATGTTCCCTTCACTGGACTCTACAGATACAACTTCAACATACAAACACACACTTCTACAAATACATAGGCACACTCACACACACTCACACACACACATACACACACACACACACACACACACACACAAACAAAAAGAGTCTTCCTCTCTTCCTAGTTTTCAGATTCCCCTCCTCACATTCTCTTTTCACCTCTCTGGCTTCATTTTGTCCTACGGCAATGTCCATTTCTAATTTTGCCCCTCTTGTTTTATTCATTCTTTCATCACCTCTTCTTTGTGTGACCCTTCTGTCTGTGTGGATGGATTCCGCCCTCCTCTGTAATGTCGCCCTATTCTTATTTTAGCATAATTGACTTACTCTCCCCAAAAAGCATTCTTTGTGGCCACCGCAGCATAACTTCTCCACCTTGAGGAGTCGTGCTTATTCTCCAGCTCTGCACGTTTAAACCTCTTGTGGGCGAGATATTCTCATTTCCACAGTGTGTATTTGAATGCACGGATCTCATCATTTCATACTTTAGCTGTGTGCCTCATTTGAGCAGCGTAATCCTGATTATATTCACCTCCCAGTGTCCCATTTTAGGAGAAAAGAAGGAGAAGGGGAGGGGGGGGTATGTTGCCATGACGGTGAGCAGTCTTCATAAGAACACAGTAAGACCCTAGATTCCCTTGAGGCGCCGGCTGCACTGGCAGACCACTGGCTCAGGCTATGTTTTGGTGGAGAAACAACAGCGAGTATCAACTGAGAGGATTATGCTTCCACAGCAGCAAGGCAGCTCTTTCATCACACACACCTCGTCTTTCCCGCTTGCACTACGCTTTTATTCTCTTTCCTTGGAGTCAATTTCCACTCTCATTTATATGTGAAGAAATGGCCCTCATCATGTCAACCTGAAGTGTGAGTGGCTCTCTTACAGGGCCACTGCCAAAGGGCTGCCATTTCTGTATGGCCGAGTCTTCGAGGAGCGCTGTACACTGCTTTCTCTAATTGTATACTGTGTTGTGATCAATTATCATAAAGAGCCATTAGCATTTAAAGTGCTCCCCCTCAGCCCTCCTGTAGTCCGTAGACTCTCTGGAGTGCTGAGCGGCCAGATTAGTCCTGAATCATGCTCTCCTTTTTTTAAGCTGCTTTCTGAAACCAATGTGGAAGATGACTTGGCAACATATTTCTAAAGCAGGAATAGTGCGAGTGGGGCGCATGGGTGTGCGTTTTATCAACGTTTAGGCGCCTGCGTGTCTGTGAGTGGGTGATAGAGGGAGAGAAAATCTGGACTCTGGTTTGTTTGTTTGCATGGTCTTTGCTGACAGCGTTCGTGTGTCTATTGTGCGGGTGTATCTGTCTATGCACACTCACACACAAATTGCATATTTGCCCAGATCTGGTTGGCTCTGTTGCCTGGTTTTGGGCACCAGGCCTGATTGCCCTTCTGCAAACATAACCAGGCCAAAATGAACGCTCCCAACCTCTTGATAGTCACTAAACACACAAACACTGAGCTCTGGGGAACAATGCCTTCACCCACTGCCAACCGATGCTGTTGACACACTCTATGTTTATATATATACACACAACACATTTCTGCATTGCCTGTCTTATCAATTTAACCAGGAGATGGAAAATCAGCAGTACTTTACCACGCTGTTTGTGTTTGATAAATGATTCATTTGCTGAAAACATTTGCTGTTATGAAGGCCGTGCCTGCAGTCTCTATTCTAGGCAGTGTCTGAGTCACACAAGATCATTAGTGTGAACCTATGGTGATCCTTTGTCCATCTGAGTAAACTTTTACTGCATTTGTTACATACCGTACCTCCCTCTGCAATTCACCGTTTCTCTGCATAGTTACTTAGCAATACCCCGTGTGGCTCATTATTTATTCATTGAGCAGTCACAAGCCACACCGCTTTTCACAAAATACACACATGGGCAATTGTGCATAAGCATTTAGTGTTCTGAGTTGACTTGTCATTCTTTGTATGTATAGGGCTATGGTATACTCTATATTTAGACCATCTGTGTTTTAAGGCCAATATGAGATTTATTAGTATACACTCTGTTACATACCTGGAGCTTAAGTTTAAAAAATCTATTTGTTTATAGCATATGCAGCTCGCCTCTAACATCCCGCCCTCTGCATCCGCCTCCCCAGCAATACACGCAATCCAAAGTCCACCATCACATCACATTATTCTCACCAGTGTTAAAGGCATGAGCCCAACCCCCTGGACTGCTGAAGCGCTGCGCTCTAATTAACAGCCAGGGAGTCCATGTATTGGTAGCCGGCGGGTGATAAAAAGACCATCTGAACCCTCTCAGGAGATAGGGGGGTGGTTGTAATGTGGGGAGGGGCAGAGAGGAGCAGATGTAGGCTTTGCTTACTCCACACCTCAGGGGAGATCGCCTTCTGACCTGCTGTATCGACCTGGCCGTGTCTTCCTTTCTCTTCTTCCATTTTTTGTCAATGGAGACACCACGGGGCTCTATTGGGTTGGATCATTAGCATTGATTGGTTTGGGATTGTTGGTGGAAGGGCAGTTTTGTTTAGGGGGAAAAGGTTGCGTCAGGGTGATTCCCCTCACAGTGGATCTTCACTTGATTTGTACCACCTCGATACAACAAAACAGTATGTGACGTGTATAAAAATGCCCTCTACCAGTGGCCGATTTGAGCTACGACAATAAGATAGAGAGTAGTTGCAAGTTTTTCGGGTTTTTTTTCAAAACATGAAACTGAAGCAATTGAATATTGTCTATTGTATCCGCTACCTAAAGAATATGTACAGTATGTATTTATTGAGAGAAGAGGGAACTGAAAAAGCATGAGTACTATCAAATCCAGTGTGTAGTAAAACTAGAGTTTATTTAGGGATGGTACAATACCTGGTATTAACCCTTGTATTATGTTGAAAAAAAATGACATTGATTATGTTGCGGGTCATTTTGACCCGTACTGTGTAAATGCACTCAAAACAGTCAAGAAAACAGGTTAAACCAATAGCAACTTTATATAAATATTTAGAAAAGTGACATACAATACATTTTTAATTCCAACGCTATATTTAAGAAATATTTAGTCTAATCTTCTTGTCCTCCTCTCGGGTCAAAATGACAATTCTTCCCTTCCTCTTTCCTCCTGCCATGCTTTCTCCTTCCTTTTTCTCATCCTGTTTTCCTTCTCTCTGTTCATCCTCCTCTATTCCCTTCTTTTCTCTTCCTTCCTTCCTTTCTCCCTTCTTTCCTTCCTACCTTCCTTCCTTCCTCCCTTCCTCTTTATTTGACCAAAGATTCGTCCTCTGAATCCTCCTTATTGTAGGAAAATTGACAATCTGGATCAGCAATAACATTGTCCTGTCTCTGAAAAATCCTCTGTTTCTGAAATCTCTTCCTCTACATCATTATCCCAGTTAAAAATCTGTGATAAAGCCTCCTCAGATGTCATCCTTCTGGATCTCATTTTTGGTGAGTTTGTCAAAGCCTAGCGTACATCGACAGAGAAACTGGAGACAACTAGTTGCAAAGCGGCTTTTGGAAACTGAGAGTAGATGATGGAGATGATCAGTTGTTATCAGATGTGAGCGCTCTTACAACTGGAGATAAACAGTCGATCTCCGGATTCAGTCAGTTGCCTGTGTTCTACTTTTTGGCAACTAGTTGTCCTCCAAAGTTGTAGATCCAGAGATATCACCCGATGTGCGCGCCCCGTGGCGCGCTCCAACAACATGTGTGTATCGCGTGTATTGCGCCCTCTACAGTTTATGTCAGAAAACACACTGTAGTTGAGGCCAGTTGCTGTCGATGTACGCGCTGTTATTCCCGAGACTGGCCTGATACAGGAGCGGCCCGTTTTCGCCAGATTGTCGATGTGTACGGGGCAGCAACTCAAAGGCGACGGATATAATCAGTTGCCAGTCCCATGTACGCTAGGCAAAAGAGATGACATGAGAACAGTGACAAGGGTGAGTGACAGTGACAAGTGTGAGAAAGTTCCCTCTCTTCACACACCTGGCTCTGGCTCTCAGAGGCAATCAAAATACAATGTCAAAGAGACATGTTTTTTTGGATCTGAACAACTATTTACCCACATTAAAGCGTCAGGGTCAAAATGACCCGCAACATCATCTTTGTATACAAACTCTGCACAGACATTCCACTACACATCAAAGTGTCCAGATTTTACACACCAGTTCATGACCCTAGATGAGGAAAAGTCACCAAATTTCAGCAAGAAAAATAAAGGATAACAAGTACTTTGATCAACACAAAAACTGAAATGGGTCAAATTGACCCTTAACATAATACAAGGGTTAAGATAAACCGTAATGACAATTAATGAAAAAAAAGATGGGGGAAAAACATAATAAATATACACTCTCTATGTGCCTTTATAGAACATTTCGGTTTTTTGCCTTTAATAAGAATCAGAATCATAATTCTATTTATTGCTATTGTGAGTCACACTGTTTTTGTTTAGTATCTGGAGAGTTTCAGAGAATAGAGAAACCCAACTGCCTCCTCTCAGTTAGAATGCCCTGGGTGACTCCCGGGCCCATGGTCTTTCTGAATGGAGTTTGCATGTTCTTCCCGTGTCTGGTTTCCTCTGGGTGCTCTGGTTTCCCCTACCACTAAAACATAGTGCACAATGTACAACATACAATGGTAGCAGGGATGAAAACGAGCCTTGAGCTAATTCCGGTTCATTATTGCACTTTCGCATTCAAGTTTAATAAATAACTAAAGATAGATTTTTATATTTTTTTCATTTTAGCAGTTTCTTTAGACTGAAAACGATTGCTATTGGCATTGGTCTTACGGAAACAATGAATAGGAGGTCAAAGCTGGGTATAAATCGTGCAGTTAGAAAAAATAGATAATGGAATATTACTATTACGATTCACTGTAAACCAAACTTTATGCTGGTTTACATTTGTTTTACTTTTTGCACACACATTCTGCACATTGCCTCAACCTTTTCCAAATGAATGTTGTAGCTAAACATTGCCCTCATCTAAGTTAGCGTTTGCACTTAACACCGCTCTTGGCACAGTGGCATTTCCCCTTCACTCTTCGCTCCTCTTAGCGCCAGCATCAACAACTCTTGACATTCGTATCTGAAAGCTCTCTTAAAGCTGATGACGGCAGAAAGGCGAGAACGAGAGCCATAGATCCTATCTGCCTTCCTCCCTATGGCAGAGCGGCTGTGAGCAGATGGAACACGGCTGTCATGTGGTTAGGTAGCAGGGGGCCGGAGGAGCAGAGGAACCAACCAAAACATTCTCTGCTGATTCTACTAATGTTGGATTTGTACCACACACATATACGCTTTGTCACTCTGGATCTGACTGAGAATATTTGTGATGCAGCACTCCTTCGGGTCTGAATGTAGTGAGCTAAACAGATGTCAATAAAACATCTGTCTGGAATGTTTCACTGTATGACATTAAGCATAACTATCCCCATGGAGACGCTTGTTAGAATTAGCAAGCAAGAGTGTATTATGCATTCTTTTTTACCCTTAAACACAATGGCACTTTTTACTTTGACATGTCATGGAGTAGATCTCTGCTTGTAAGTCTCATTTGATACTTAGTTACTTACATATTGTCATTCATGTGCACATCAAAGACAATGCACTCAATGAACAAAATGGCATTGCATCTTGACTTCAAACACTTTTTTGTGATGACAGCAGGATCCACGTTTGCATGAATTATAGATACAGTACAGTATAGTTAACCAAAGTGCAATGTGAAAAGGTCAAAATCTGGTTTCATTAATCACTTTTCTGTGCATTCCTCGTCCCACTTCTTTAATATGATGAGTTGAAAAGATGTTTTTTAAAACTGTTATGCAGTTGGACTATCATGGTAGAAAAGTGCCCCATTAGTATTGGGCTACCTGGTCCTATAGAATTGAATAAAAAACACATTAAGTAATTTCTTCAAAACATCATAACATTTTGTTTTTGTTCAATTACAAAAAAAATGGTCTTTAAAGCTACGTTACCTAACTTATTTTCTTTTTTGTCCCAATAGAACAAGTTCAAAACTGGTAATCTCTTTTCACTTTTCTGTCAGCGACCAAACAATTCATACATACAAATATTATTGATAGAATTATTTTGAGAGAGCTTAAAATGATCCTTTTTTGTGGTTTGAAATTCAGCGACATCGAGTTGTAATGCCACAGTAAGATTTTCCAAGAAATTCCGAGGAGACAAGCGGATAGAAAACCTTGCTCCAGGATTAAGAAATATCTGAAGGCAACATTATACACGGATAGATTACCAGCTAAGTCGTTATTATCTCACTGGGTGGCTTCGGTTACAATCGTTTCCTAACTTTTCGTTGTGTGCTGCTCCTGCCGACTTGATTTATTATCCGGACAAATTGGCGCTTTCCTAATGACTTCATCGCTTTTGGAAAAGTGTGATATGTAATTATGTTCGAAGGTATGGGGGAGGTGTTTATGTGAGCCTGTGTGTGACAGATCGAGTGGGCAAAAGGCTAAGGAGAGGTAGGAAACAGGAGGGCTCCGTGGATGCTTGATTACGTGTCTGGCCATCTGGACCGCTGTCACCGAGACGCCTAATCCAATTCCCTTTCTCTGTATATGTGTGTGTGTGTGAGAGAGAGAGAGATAGAAAGAGTTTAGACAGCTCACCTTTCTCAGTATGCAAAAATATGTACACACCAAAACTCGTAATGGTCTCCTTTCAAAGTAATCAGACGACGCTTGCCGACACGTCCCATTATGGTCCCTCTAATCTGTGGGACATTTAAACAATTACTGCTAACAAGTCCCTATTAGCCCCTACGCCCTTCCCTCCCTCTTGATTCCAGCCTTTGTCAAGTTCCCGGTCGACGAGAAATCCCTGCATCAATATGCCGCTAAAGCACAACACATGTATTTTGTTGGCGAGAATGCACACAGCCGCGTAACGGTGTAAGTGCATGTTTAAGCTACTCCTGCTGACTGGGCGGTCTGTTTGCGCTGGCTGTCAGACTGTGGCTAAAAACCTGCCGAGTGAATCACCTATAATGACTAGCAGTGGGAAGCATCAGGCGCCTTTGATGAGGGAGGGCCTGACGTGGAAGGGATTTTTTGTTTTCAGTCGGAGGCAGATGGGAAAGGGTAAGAAGGGGTGACTTGCAGAGCTGCGTGTGTGCGAGCTCAGAGAAGGCGGCTCAGCTAAATGCTTTCTGTGCAGGATAAGTTGTTTGACTTCATAGCAAATCCACCGTCTTTGTCTCTCGGTGTTTTTCTGTTTGAGTTTTCCTGCGATGCGCTCTGGAATAAATTGTCAATCCTTCCATTCTGTTTTGTGTGGTGTCTGTTTCTTTTGCTTTTGTTGGAGTACGGCAACAAATCGTCAGCTCATTGTTAGCAGTTAGTTGTGTAATGAGTGTTGATACTGACTCTTGTGAAAAGGTCACTCTCAGCTTAACCCCAAGCTTTTGTTTACATTAAGTTGGCTATTCTCTGTCCGCCCAAAGAATCACAACACACACCAATGTTAAATTCAATAAAATGTATTAAAACTATACAGAGCATTGCATTGGCTCATAAAGGAACTCTTCTTCTCTGCCTCAAAAGATATAGTACCAGTCACAGTACCAAGATAATGTATTCACTTTCACTGAATTTCACTATCTACGTTCATGCTTGTGATATATTTTTGTGTCTGAAGCGCTTGTAAGCATGATCACTTTTGCATAATACTCAAATATATTGTTTCTCACAGACATAACGTCACATATCAAAATTATTCCATGCAGCTCATACTATTATTCTATTGCTTGGCCTTCTCCAGCTAGTTTTTGTCATTATCTTTAGTAATTTATGCGACGTCCTGTGTAATTAATGAAGTAAATGACAAATGGCACGACTGTACTGTAGCAAAGTCGCAAATTTAAAACAAAGCTGTTTAGTAAGTAAGTAAGTAAGTAAGTAATGTTTATTTATATACCGCCTTTCACAGACAAGGGTCACAAAGCGGTTTACAATTGTTATTATTATTTTTTTGGGCACTTGTCCTCTCACTCCAGACAGAGATGGGAGCGGGGTCGCCGAACAGAAGGCGCATGCCAGACCTATATTGTACATATTTTTAGTTTAGTTTAGTTTTAGTTTAATCATTTTAGTTTAGTTTAGTTTTAGTTTAATCATCATGTACCAATAATGCTCTTAAAGCTGGAGTAAAACATTTTCAAAGCACACAAAAAATAACTTTGAACATGTTTAACAGCATTTAACATTTTATCTGTATGCGACTCTTTCTATTGCCCCAAACTATAAAAGCACTCCAGCTTTACTGTCCCATCTGGATGACATGTTAATATATTTGAACCGAAAACTGACTCAACTTGTGCCCTTGGCTTTCAGAGGACCTGCTGCCCTTTGGCTTCCCGAGCATCGACATGGGTCCACAGCTGAAGGTGGTGGAGCGTACACGGACAGCCACCATGCTGTGTGCTGCCAGCGGCATCCCGGACCCCGAGATCTCCTGGTTCAAGGACTTCCTCCCAGTGGAGCCCGGCACCAGCCAGGGCCGCATCAAGCAGCTGCGATCAGGTAAGACCACAGTTACAATAAGTCACAGCATCCCAAATGCTGGTCGGCTGCTGAAAAAAAAATATTCCCTGCTATTGGTCAAGTTTAAAAGCTAATTTCTCTGTAGTTCCTGAACCAATCCACATAAAACAAAAACTGTTACAACATTTTATATCTTCTTTGTCAGTACATATCAAGTATTAGTAATGAGTATACTCATTATGGTCTCATTATTCTCTCATAACTAAAAAAATATTAAATAAATATTCTAAAAACATAAGCTTTATTTTGGACGTTCAAACATAAGTGACTCTCAGCACTATCAGTAAAAGATCAAGGAAACATTTGGACATTTTTATTTAAACATTCCTTGCAAAAAATCATTCTTTTCTAACTTCTCTCCCTTAAGCTGTACCTCTCCTCCAACTGAAATGTGTTTTTACCACATGAATGCAACCTGTTTGTCTGATTTGAACACTTTACTGTCTGCCATAGCCACATTGACGCTACTTCTGACTTTGTCTAAAATATTCAAGTTTGAAGCCTTTATGTCTTTTCTATATTTTAAGGGGTTGGGCATTTCATTTCAAGTCATTATTCCACTTATGAATCAGCTTCTATTGTGAGACAAAAAAAACTACAAGTGCATCTGATAATTACATTATTCGCTCTCTGATTCTATCTTTTCTAACCCGTGAAAGTCTTTGAATGGTTTCCACAGAATACTGCATAAGGACTGAGTTGACACATTGTTGGCAGATTTTAGACTTTACAGAGGTTACTTTGTATGGTAGGATATTCTATTAAAAACTATTAAACATCTACATTTTATATTTAAGAATGTGAAGTTATTCAGGGAGATGTTTTCGCCAATAAAAAATGTAATGAACATGCCAATATTTGGTTTATCTCACTTCCTCAAATCGTTCCTATATCTATTTAAATTGATTAAATATAGATTAACATGTAGAATGAATATGGAACTGTTTTTTTCTTGGGGTGCTTTGAAAGTCCAATAAACAACCACAAGGATAAAAAAAGAAAAAGAAAAGAAATAGTCAATAAAAAAAACGATTATTTGTGTTATGCCTGTTTTATCCGCAGTCTCAACAACAAGAGGATTTTTGAAACATTTCTCAGTATATTGCATTTCTTTGAATTGCACATTCGTTCCTCGTTTCTCACATATTGATGTACTGTAAGCCTGCAACAAACTGCCTGGAAAGCTATTTAAAAGAATCTCTTGAGAATCATATTTTTTTGTAATGATAAATCCGACCATAGCGGCCATATATTAGCTCCGACAGAACTCAATCAATAGCTTTGGGGAGAGGAGTCAGCTTATTAAAGGCATAACTGATGTTCCTCTTTATCTCTACACCCGCCCCTTTGAAAATCTGTGAAATAGACTGTATGCGAGTACAAAACACACACACACACACACAAATGCAAGATTCTTTTTGACAGTGATGGTGTGAGATTAATCTACGATGCATCTATGGAGAAGCCCATTAGATTCACTTTAATGAATGAAATATAAGTATTAACTTGTTGACTGCCAGCGTTTTTTGATGATTTCACTGATTTCCAAGACCCACAGAATATTGTGTGCTATGACTATGTTCAATATGAAACCAGATTCTGAAACATTGGATTGTCTTCTTTCATCAGAAAAAATATGATGGTTTCTAGCTAGTTTTGTTCTTCTGTAATCCCCCGGCAAAGTTTGACAGAAATCACCAACTACGTCAACGAGCAATAGCGGCTTTGTACGTGTTGTAAATATGATCCTATACTTGCTATTGCACGACTAGTCAGATACCGAACTGCATTTCATTGCATGGTTCTGATTTTGTGACGACAATAATCTAATCTAATCTAAAGGAAAGAGAAGAGAATAATGTCAAATCATTTTCTGAGCTGGTTTATTCTGAAGATATTGCACAGATGATGAACTGTCACCTGTGGTAGGATTGCGCACACATTTGGCCAGGCCTTTTCTCCGTCTCGTTCGAGCTCTCCTCTGGGAGCGTGAGAGCCACGGAGAGACGAAAGCGTTCTGTTGTAGCTTCATCCATATTCTGCTCGCCACTCAGCAGCAGCAGCAGCAGCAGCAGCAGCAGCAGCAGCAGCAGCAGCAGCAGCAGACCGGGCCAGAGCCGTTCCCGCACACCGACAGCCTTCACACATCACTGCCGCCCTTTGTCAGACCTGTCTATGTCCTCAACCACTATCAACTCAAAACGCTTAAAGTAATCCTGGAGTCGTCGTGAGTACGTAAATGTAGGTTGCGTAGTCAGACGGTTGGATTTTTACATTTCGGGTTCATTTCTTGCACATTATCGAAAGCGCTGCTGAGACGTCAAAGGGGGTAATTAACTCGCAGGAAATGCTTAGCGTGTTGTCGATGGGAAAGATATGAGTGTTTCCTCCACTGATGACTGCTGTAAGAAATGAAAAATTGGTTTCACAATTAGAAGTATGTTATTGATATAATTATAGAGTTTTTTCATTGAAGGCATGGAATGTAATTATGACCTAGAATATACACAACGTGAAATAATAATAGATTAAAACGTATTCTAATTTGGTTATAATACTTCATGAAAGATCCCACTAATCTGGCAGTTTGTCAAAAAAATATAATTGCTATCTGATCTCTGTAAGAATATCCTTTTTTGGTCACAATGTAATTCAATACTTTCATGTTTGGATCAGCTCTATATAGAAACGCCGTTATAGAGTTTCTTTGCTTCTTTCATGCTCTTTATAGTGTGTGATGGACAGATGGACTTGACCAAATACTAAATACTAATAATTTTTTACGTAAAGCTGGGGTACCTATTTTTTTTGTTTTCCATAAATAATGCATATTGTTTGTTCTCATTGAAAAAAACTCACAAAAGTAGCAAAATATCTCATCTTTTGCATATACTTATAAGTAGGAGTCATGTAAGTCACTTTTTGACACTTTGGGCTGAGAGCTGATTGGCTGAGGGAGGGTGATCATCTCTTTTTCACGTTTTATGTCTGAAAATGCTCATCTAGTTGTGACATGATGAGGCCAAAACACATCTAATGTGAGATATTGATTGATTGATTTTATTGATTTGAGCAGAATTTACACATTCAGTAGTATTTACAATATTTGCATTCCTTAGTGTGCGACCTTTTGTACGTACATGTTTCCGACAGCCCTTACAGTAATAACTTACACATGCAAATATATAAACATGAATATATAATCATCCAACAGTATTTGCCCTAGTTTCACTACGTGTTGAATATTTACAATTTCAACATGTATCTCTAAATGCATTTCCACTTACAAACTGTCAGCTCAAAATAGAGCGGGGGAAGAAGTGAAACCTAAAGATAGAACCAGCATTGAACTCCTTAGACGGGTTATGGTTTGGAAGTGAGGTGTCCCAGCTTTAAGTGTGCATACAGGATGTGACTGTGATGTGATGTTGACAGACTACTAAGTTACTTTTGATATGACTTTATTCATATTGCCATGACTGACTTCTGACCCACTTGGGACAAGGTGCTCCGCTCTGCAAAGAGGACTGTGGGCTGTGAGCTTCCTGTTCTGGAGGTTCTTTATAAATCCAGACTTTTAAACAAAGCTCTTAGGATTGTCAATGACTCTTCTGGCCACCCTGGGAAAGCCATGTTCCAGCTTCTTCCCTCTGGCAGAAGATATCACTCTCTGAGATGCAGGACATCTCGTTACGCTAACAGTTTTTATCCACAGGCTGTTATCAGTGTGAACAGAGCACTTTAATGATTTGCACTTGTTTTGAAACTGTTTTAGTCGATCGATTTCACAGTGACATTTGTTTACTGTTTTATTTGTTTTATTTCTGTCTTTTAATGTTGTTTTATGTCTGTATTTGTCTGTGCACACTGGAGACTTTTTGCTAATGTATTCCAATGTGGTTTTTTTTACTGCAAATGGCAAATAAACTGAATCTGAATCTGAATCTGAATCTTTGAATACAGCCGAGAATAGATTATGTCGTTTTCTCCTCAATATTCTCAAAATAACTCTTATCAGAATACTTCATCATGTTTAGTTTCGACATATTCCCACAGACCTAGTTTCTCCCTTTCCAGAGCCCCCATTTTGATGCTGATTCACCGATACAATATATAAAGCCACATATCATCACATCAATGAAACAGTAGCAAGACAAATGACTCGGCGAGATCGTCCTAATGGGATTTCAAATCGCCGGGAGCTTCACCAAAGCAGGGCAACCAAATACAGTGTATAATGACCCAAACACCGCTCTGAAATGACTTGGAGGAAATCTATTACACCTACTCGGAGTACTAAATTGCACTATTATAGATGAGACGCCCCCTTTTAGAACACTTTGAATACTTTAATGGGGACACCTTCAGGGATAGAGGCCATGATTTTGTGTGCATTTTCCAAGGTCTTGTTTTGGGCCAGAGCCAGGTTGTTTTGGGCCACATTATTTTATGTCGGTCTCGAAAATCCCTTTCTGCCGCAAGAGGATGAAGAAGAAAAATGGTATTGAAATTGACTCCACTTAGATCCTCACAATGGCTCATAGCGGTTTTATGGCCTTAAAGTGCCCATTGCCAAGCGGATACCTCTCTCCTCTCGTTTTCTCCAGTGTAAAATCTTCCAAATACATATGATTTTCTGAAACATATGGTACTAGATGATGCTGAACTTTGCTTGACACCTTTATGCCTGAACAAAAGCATCCGTTTGATTGACTGGCAGCTGCTGTGCGCGTGTTTCCGTTTAGAACAGTTATTTATGTGCCATGGATGTGTACAAGAAGTAACTGTTTTTCTAAATCTTATATGAAACAGATGGCAGGCAATGAGAGACCAAAAGGTGAGTGCTTTTAATGGATACACCTGTCTGGGTAAAAACACTATGGGATGGTTCTTAATGTCACGTCTAACATCAAGGAAACAAGACTTGTTTAAAGCACTCAGCATGAACTAAATCCACTCTTGTTTGTAGAATATAAACC